ATTTACATTTTATTGCAGCATGAAATTAAAATCATAACAATGGTACTTTTTGATAAATTGTAAAGTTGAAACACTGTGGGGGTTAAACAACTTACAAGCTTTCCATTATGGCTATCAGAAGATAAATAGATTTTTAAAACACACAACAGAAACATTTAATGAATTTCCTGTTTTAACTCATTTTACCCCTGTATCCTGTGGATATCTCTCATTGAATACTTTTTTAAAGCATTTGAATCAACACCACATAAAGATGCTTCCATTTTTCTTTGATAAATTAGGATTTAGAAGACTTTAAAAGATTTTTACAACAATTTTATTTTCTATTATGACCTAGCTGCTCTAATCCCAGGAGTCATGATGTAAACAAACTTAAAACCTACACAACCTGCGGATTCTTCTGAATCAAAATAACTTACTATAGCTTCTTAAGAAGATTTTTCATTTTTCCAGTATATTTCTTATATGTTAGTTAAACTTTGATCACCCATTGTAGCCCCTACCTACCTCTGAGGTTATGATTTGAACAAATTTAAGTCTACACTACCTGAGAATGCTTTTAATAAATATGACCAATCATGGTTTTGCTATTCTTGAGATGATTTGTAAAGTTTTTTCCCTTTGTATTCCTATGGTAAAGTTTAATTGCTCATCCATTGTGGTCCCAATCTATCTCTAGCATCAAGATTTGAAAAAAAAAAATTGAATCTATACTATCAGGCAATGTTTCCACCTTCATCTTACCTGCCCAGTGGTTCTTGAAAAGATTTTTAAAAGATGCCATGAATTCTTTTTTAGCTGACCTGAACCGAAGGCTCAAGCAAGCTTTTCTGATCAAAATTTGTCCAATGTCTATCGTCGTTGGCGTTGTCGTCATTGGCGTTGTCGTTGTTGTAAACTTTTCACATTTTCATCTTCTTCTCAAGAACCAATGGGCCAATTTCAACCAAACTTGGCACAAAGTATTCTTGGGTGAAGGGGATTCAAATTTGTTCAAATGAAGGGCCACACCCTTTTCCAATGGGAGATAATTATGAATTAGAGAAAAATTAATGGCATTTTTAAAGAATCTTCTTCTTCTTTCCTCATTCATAGGGTGGGGCCAAAATGGGCCGATCAAACTTTTACATAGGAATATATAGGAAAAATCTTTAAAAATCTTCTTCTCAAGAACCATTGAGACAGGAAAGATAAAACTCAAGTGAAATTATCCTCAGGTAGTGTAGATTTAAATTTGTTCAATTCATGACCTCTGGGGCTAGGGTGGAGCCATAATGGCCAATCAAAGTTTTACATAGTAATATATAGGAAAAATCTTTTAAAATCTTCTTCTCAAGAACCATTGAGACAGGAAAGAGGAAACTCATGTGAAATTATCCTCAGGTAGTGTAGATTGTTGAAATCATGACTGCCAGGGCTAGGGTGGGGTCATAATGGCCGATCAAAGTTTTACATGGGCCAAAACGGTCAAAGTTTTTAATTGGAATATATAGGGAAATCTTTTAAAATCTTCTTTTCAAGTACTTCAAAGCCATGATTAGTGATATTTATATGGAATCATCCTCAGGTAGTGTAGATTCTAGTTTGTTCAAATCATGACCCCCTTGGGGGTTAAAATTTAAGCCCCACCCCCCTCCAACCTCAGTAAACTTTCAGTTCTCATCTGATATGTGCTTTTTCCTAGCCGGTGTGCTCAGGTGAGCGCTTTGGCCCCTAAGCCTCTTGTTAATTCTAAGTTACCGGTATCTCCCCTTAGAAGAAGGTGTAGCATTTCATTTCAATAAACTTGAATCCTCTTTACCTAAGGATACTCGATGCCAAGTTTTTTTGAAATTGGCCCAGTGCTTCTGGAGAAGAAGACGAAATTGTAAAAAAGTTAAGGACCTGACACCAACGACAAACAATGGACAAATTGTGATAAGAAGAGATCGGCTTAAAACATTCAATTTAAAACATTGACAGGCTTAAAAGAATCCCCTATGATTTGTGGTAACAAATGATTTTTATCCAACTTGTGTATTTTTTATCCACTTCCCAAGGTCCATGAATAAAAAAATGAGTTGGATAAACATACATGTATAAGTATTAATATAGAAATCAGAGTTACTTGGAAATGGACATATTTAATAACTTTGCATGAGTCACTTATCCAGAGGATGATAAGGCCTTACATATGTGTATTACCTGTAACAAGACCTACCTTTTAAAATGTGCTATGAATTTTTACTAGGGATGTCAACGAGTACCCGGTTAACCCGGTACTCGATCGAACGTCCGAGTATTGAATATTAAAATCGGCACTCGGTTATTCGGATGTATATTTTTGAAGGTGTCTGAGCACATTTATTAATGCATTAAAACATCGGTTTTAAATCGTAAAATGTTCATTGCATTTGTACATACAGTAATTAGAGTTTTGTACACCTCTAAATGACCGTTATCGCCCGTAGCAGTGTTTATGCAGCAATTATCGTGACCAAGCACCTGTTACCTGGCTTTTCTCACCTTCAACTGTCTTCTACCCTTATTTTTTGTTTGCTTTATAAATTGATTTTTCACTGAACATCGTTTAAGGTCTATTATGTTTAATAAATTAGATAATTTTGTCACATTCTCCAAGAAACCGTAAATTTTCGGGAAAGAGACAGATGATATTACACGCGCGAACGTGGTTGTGTTTGATAACATGCCAATTAATCCAAATGGCTGAAGGCAAAGGCTAAATTTCGGGAAAGAGACAGATGATATTACACACGCGAACGTGGTTGTGTTTGATAACATGCCAATTAATCCAAATGGCTGAAGGCAAAGGCTTTAAAAACCTGATGTCCATCGTTGCATCAAACTACAACATAACTTTCCGTAATACTGTAAAATATAGGATCGAAAAAAATGTACGAAGATTGTAAATCCGCTCTGTTATAGGAAAACTTGCTCAAGTTCATACTGTAGCTCTGACGACTTATCTCTTGGACGTCAAACGCAACCAAAGAGTTACATTACAATTATGGAGCAGATTATTATTAAAAACCAGAAGTCTCTGTTGAGACTGTAGCTCTACAGGTTTGTACTTAAAACAAAGGATGAGAAAAGAAGCCATTGCCATCAGACCAAAACTATAGAAGGAGTAGCATTTTAAAGGAATTTCTTAGACATTTCTATTTTTAGTAACTATGGGAACAATGTTCATCAAAATCAAAAACTGATGCACTATTTTATGTATCTTAGTGTAGTCTACTTTTGTGCCAAGTAATGTTGAAATCAGACCAAAACTGTAGAAGGAGTAGCGTTTTAAGGAAATTTCACAGAAAATTTTATTTTTAGTAACCATGGCAACATCGGTCATCGAAATCAAAAACCGATGCACTATTTTATGTATCTTAGTGTAGTCTACTTGTGTGCCAAGTTATATTGAAATCAGACCAAAACTGTAGAAGGAGTAGCGTTATGAAGGAATTTCACAGAAATTCTATTTATAGTAACCATGGCAACACCGTTCATTGAAATCAAAAACTGATGCACTATTTTATGTATCTTAGTGTAGTCTACTTGTGTGCCAAGTTATATTGAAATCAGACCAAAACTGTAGGAGGAGTAGCGTTTTGAAAAATTGTTTACAGACAGATGGACAGACAGACAGACGGACGGACGACGGACACCTTACTATTGCATAAGCTCTTCTGGTCTCTGACCAGTAGAGCTAAAAAAACCACTGTGAACCATTTATGATTTTATTCCTTGTGTTCATCTGATAAATAATTTGAACTTTAAAAAATATGTTATATGAAATTTTGTCGGGCATGAAGTGCTCATTATTTCCATCGGAGCAGGTGGTTTTATTTCTACAAGAGTTTACAATGTTTTACAGTTATCAATGTTACTTGTTCATATTTATTTAAACTTTTACCGAGTACCCGGGTACTCGATCGGAAAAATGTCCAAGTAACCGAGTATTAAAAATTGACCGATTTGACATCCCTATTTTTTACCCTATGACCTTAACCTTAGAGTTTGACATAAACTTTTCAGAGAATATTTAGAGCTTTCACCTTTCACATGTATATTACCCGTGACATTCACAAGACCTTTCTAAATACACTATAATTTTTTACCCTGTGATCTTGACCTTTAGGTTTGACCTAATACTGTAGATCACTAAAATTTCACAACACCTTATTTTCACAAGATAGTCATTGTCTTTTGATTAGCAAGACACGAATTGTGGTTATTGCTTTATATAATCTTAAAGAATGCTATTACACATGAGAAGTAAATTTTCGCAAGCACACTGTCTTGCGTAATTACGTGAAAACAAAGAACTCGTGAATAAAACGTGATTTACAGTACTGTATTAAAAAATGTTCTTTTTTTCCCTATAAACTTTTATAGAGAAAAGATAGGACATTCATCCTTGAGAAGGGTATTACCTGTGACAAGGCTACAATTTCTGACTCTTTAAACTTTGGCCTTTGTGTTTGACCTCATTTTAAAAAAGTCAACTTTGGTGACAACTTTTGCATGATATATGATAGGGTGTCCATATTTTTAACACAATACCATATATGTAGAATATTTAGCAAGGATTTAATTTTGGCATTATTAGCGACGGTGTCGAGATCACTAAAATTGAATATCGCTAAAAATTAATTGCATTTTATTTGTTATAACTTCTATAACGTTCATTTTAAAATCGCTAAAATAGCATCTCGCTAAAAATGAATTACCAGTTTTTCAGGACAAATCGCTAAATTTACATCTCGCTAAAATTACCACTTATACAGTATGCCATATACATTGTATAATGACATCTCACCCACAAAGACGCAGAAAGCGAGAGACCACAATTCTTTGAATTTGATTGTGTTTTTTCTGCCAGTGACCTTGAATTAGTTGAAATTACTTTGTGTCAAGGTCATGATCACCCTCAAGGTTCAGACTGTTTAATAAAACAATTGTGTTGCATTTTTACTGCATACACTACAAGCTTTAAAGTCAAATACCTTTTTAATGTTGATCCACTTCTTTAAATAATTTTCTGGTTTTAAATGCAAGTGTGTGCACTGAGAGGGTAACCTGCAAATCAGAAAGACTTAATTATTCCTGGTATAATAAAATTAGGCCATCCTTTAAAAAAAATGTGTTAATTTTCTTCTAGAACTTTGCTGTTTCTTTATCTGTAAACAAAATGTTATTATGATATTACCAGGTAAACTTTCAGAAGTATATAAAAGAAAAATGATTTTTTTATATTGTAACTCTCAGGACATTGTATATGCATAACATCAATCCTGTGTCTAAATTCTTTAAAAAAAACATTTTAATAACTGCATGTAGGGTTAATAGCTATAATTTAATGAGGGTAACAGATTAAGGGATACATAATCTGTCTATTTTGCTGTCCACAAAATTTTTATCCTTGTTGATAACTTTTGATTGGTTAGGGCTATGGTTTTTATTTTTCACCTGA